ATAAAATAAGAGTAAAAAGAACACTCAATTTAACATATACAATCCTCTAAAGTGAGAGAAAACTACAAGAAAGAAAAGAAAATTTTATTATTAAAAAATAAAGTTACACAATATTATAAGTTCAATCTTAATCTTCTCTAAAAATTTTTTAATCTCACACAAATCCTTTATTAATCTTATATTTTCTATGCCTAAAGGTTCTTAATTAACTTTTAAGAAATTCCCATAAAGTACTCATAACTCAAAAACATTTCTCAAAACTCGAATTGAGTAAAGAAATCTTACTATCTCAGTAACCAAAAAGAGTGGAGGCACCATATTTCTTCATCAGCCCAATAAAAATAAGTTATGATCATATTGTTATGATCACATTATACTTTAATTGTATGTTTGGTTGAAGAGAGAGTAAGAAAAATTTTTTATTCACTTTATTTTTTTAATTTAATTATTTATTTAAATAAAAAAATAAAATAAAGAGTATAATTCCACTCCCCTTTACTCCCCTCTCCTTTGTTCAAATATAAGATTAGTGTTTTCACACTCATCTTATTTAAGAGTTACTAATAGCACATTTGTATTAAGTTACTAGTACTTGAAGTGTGAGTAAGAGCAGAAATTCAAATTACACATAAATTTAAATTCACTGAAAAAGGAAACAAATCTTACATGAGGATTGTCCTTTACGCCGAAAGACTTTGACCAAATTGCTTGAGGTTCTGGGACCTATTGCCAAGTTCTAGAACCTTGCAATATTATGCCGCCACTCCCCTTTTATTTGATAAATTTCAATTCTCCACTTGAATTCCAGACACCGACCCCACCAATCCCAACATTTCATACATAATGTAATAATTATAAGTGTTGTTTTTTAATAAGAGGAGTGGACGGTGACTATAATATTATGTTTGGTTTAAAATAAGGAGAAGATAATAATATTTTTTATTTAGATTATAAAAATTAGAGAGACGAAAATGAAAAAATATATATTATCTTTCTTTTATTTTTGTTTCTTTTTTAAATCGAATAAGATATAAGAGTATGTTTGATTTTTTTAAAAAAAATAGAAGAACAAAAAAAATTAATATTTTAATTAATCAAATTATAAACTTAATCAATATTACAATTGAATTCATTAAAAATACCCATCCTCTCATCTCCTCAAACTAAACATTTTTTAAATATATTCTTATTTGGAGCCAATAGGCATAGAGGTTGGAACAAGGACAATGAGGGACATATGATATATGGTATATTAATTAAAAAAGTAAATTCATATTTATTCACGAGAGTGACCAATTCATGTTCATGGTTTGTCTAAAAAATTTTCACTAACTCATGGGACGCAGTAATGAAAAACGGTTTAATCACAAATTTTCATCTTTTTTTCCTTAACGTTTCCTCTCTAGCAAACATTATTCTAATTTTATTGCTAGAGAAAAGTTGAAAATCAAAACATCTTTACATTTAAAAAGTTGAAAAAATTTTATAAAATTATTTAAATACTCTTAACAAAATTTTTTTTATGTGTTAGTTCATTAAAAATATTTAAGTTTTAAAATTTTTTAATACCTTTAATGAAATTTTCTTTCACAAATATTACAGTTATAAAATCACGCAACATTATAAATTTACAATATAATGTATCATTAAATAATTAATTTTTTTATATGAGACTACAGTTGTAATATTATATGTATTAATTTGTTTAATGTCATATCATTTTTATTTAATATCATATAAGATTATAAATTTACAATTTTACGTGATATTTTAATTATATTATTATTGATTTTTTTTTTATTATAGATTTACTAAGAATACTTAAATTATTATTATTACTTTTTATATTTTAATTACTAAATATCTTTTTTTAGTAATTCCTTATTACTATGTATTAAAAAAAATTAATACGTAAAAAATATATAAAATTAGAATAAGGGAAATGAAAAGGTGAACACGACAATTTGAACAAGAAACTGGGCTAAACGAGAACTCAAACTCCAATGTCATGTCGAGGGGTGCAATCTAAAATCAATTAACATGTTTGAATTGGAGAAAATCAAGGGGAGGGAGAGAGAAAAAAAAATTTTATTTAGTTATAAAAAAACTTAAAAGAGAAGGGAGAGAAAAAATTTCTTTTATTTTTTTATTTTTTTATTTCTTTTAATTTAATTACTTATCTAAATAAATAAATAAAAAGAGAAAGGGAACAAAGAGAAATAAAATGATTTAATTCCTTTCTCCTCCCCTCGTCACCCTCACTTCAAATATAGGGTTGGAGACATAATTTTAACATGATAGCAAAAGAAATTCCAAAATTAACTTATGTGGGATAATTTTTCTTACCATATGATTTTATAGATTAATTACATAAAATCTTGAATCAAACCTCTAAGAAAGGAAAGATCAAAGGCGAGGAGGAGGAGAAATGGAGAATGACATGTAAAGAAAATTAAAAGCATAAAAATTAGATAATGTGGTTTACAATACGAAACTTGTATTTAATTTAAATTTAATCTACAATAAATAAAGTTTTTTTTATATTTAATTTACATTTTTTAATTATTTTTTGAAATATAATTTTCTCATTTAACAGAAACCCTTTAACTAGATACCAACAAGGGTTTTTGAAATTTGAAAATAATTGGTTATCTTGAAAAAAAGTTTATGAAAAAAGTGTGAGCATATAATGAATACCGTTCATGCCTTTTCCTATCAAAAGCAACTCAATCATGCTTAAAAGTGAATAATGGTTTAGGCCAAGTTAATTATTAATACTTGAAAAGCTATATTAAATTTTAAAGACTTTTGATGCAAGTTTTTTTTTTAACATAAATAAAATTTGTTATTACTTTTTAGTATAAGGAGTATTCTAACTTATATTAGAACACAACACACACATAAAGTAAAGAATAATATTTCCTACCCCACTCAAACCACAAAAGCATCTATCCCTTTCCTCCCACAAAAGCAATTTAATACTCTACAATTTCTTTCATTAATCAGCAAATAGTCTCATACGTTCTTTTTTAGAGGGTTATAACTAGTTTGGAATTGCTCTTCTACAATGATCCATTTATAATGTTCTTATAATAGTCATGTGCATGGTATCAATGTGGGATTAAGTAACTATGCATCGATCCACATGTTTTATTCTAATGAAAAAGCAAATGAAAACTATATTACGTTGTATTTTAAATTTTTTTAATTTATTAAATAATAAATTATACAATAAAATATAATCATCCCTTTTCTTTAGTTATTCTCCTCCCGTCTCTTATGGTCAAATCTCTCATTTAAAGTTTTGAAACACTTTTTAAAATTATAAAATAAAACATAACCCTCCTTTCTCCTTGCTCATCATTTTTCATTATCAATAAAAATATTACTTGCAAACAAATTATTTTGGACTACCCAATCACCATCCACTATACTTTTGCAAAAGTCATATAAAATAATGAGGCTGTTTGGAAGAGCATTTTTAGGATTTGCTAAAAAGCACTTTTACGGGTGTTAAGTTTCAACTTGTTTTGGAGGAATATAAATATAGGAATTTTAGCAAAAACAAAAAATGTTTTTATGAGCAAGTTTTGCAAAAAGAATTGGTCCTGCTTTTTGTATATTTTGCTAAATCAAAAATTGTATTAGTGTTCAATAATTACTTTTTTAAAAAAATATTATACATCAATATAATTATTAAATTATATACAATATTAGTTAAAATTAATTTAATTATAATAAATTAACCATTTTAGAAAGGTGATGTGCAAAAAAAAAAAAATTCTAAAGGCAACCTTCAATGTATAAAATTTAATTATAAACTTTTACAATGTTATGTTAGTTTAAGCTAACTTAAATGGTGAAACAATTTGTAAAAAAATTTGCAAATCAACCTTATAAAATGTCCGTCTTTTAATAAAACATCGACATTTTATAAGGTCGACCTACAATTTCTGTTTGCAGGTCGACTTATTTTTTCATTTTTTTAATTTAAATTATATTTAAATTGCATATATATGGAAACTCAAATTTAAATTTTAAATGTGTGTTTTAAATACATATAATTTAAAATACATGTATTTATAAATACACTATTTACACATGTTAAAATACTATGAATTTGAAATTGAATTTTACTAACTCAATTCATTAACAAATAGTTAGCAGGCCATTTATAGTAAACATACTACTCAATTTCTCCTTGGCCAACCATTTCTTTTTTTTTTTTTTTAGCATTTTAACAAACACTTTTCAACCTTCTTATCTTTCCAGGCCAAAAAAAAAAAAAGAAAAAGAAAAAGAAAACCTTAGCAAAGAATAACTACAAGAAATCACTATCTCTGAAAAACGAAAGCATAAATAACAAAACCTAACTGTGAATGGCAGCATCATAGAGATGGAGTCGCAGGTCCGAATCAGAAGCTCGGCAAGAAGCCTTCTTTGAGCATAGAATTATAAGCACCCATTGCCTATAGGAAAAGATAAAATTCAAATCATGATATTCCAAAGAAAAATGTTGGGTTCTTCGGTTTGGTACTTTGATTTGAAGATGAGACGAGAATAGTTCAGTTTCGTTAGATATTTCACGAGTTTCATTGAAGAAAAATAGGAGAAAACAAAGGCAAATGTTGAAATACACTGTAAATCTATGGGTAAGAGAAAGTTTTCAAATACATGACTTAAAATATGCATATTTTGTATAAATTCAATTGTACCCTTTGTTGGCCAAGATGGCAACCCAAGAGGGCGGTGAATTGGATTTTAAAAACCTTATGCAATTTTCGGAATAAAACAATGATGAAGCACAAACAATCAATAAACTATTATAAACTAAATTGCATGAATTAAAAGAGTAGGGTAAGAAATATCAAACGTTTCGATTCATCTTGGTTCATCACCCTCTTTGGTGCCTAAGTCCACTCCCTGAGTTTCCGACACTTGAGATTTAATCCACTAACACTAGCTTCAATGGGTACTAGTAAAACTGATTACAATAGCTTGCTAGTACTATCAATTGTTTAAATCCCTTATTCCAAATCTCTCAACCTTTCCTATACCTCAAGGATGGATTCCTAGATCTAACAAAGTTCCCTTAATCCGTCTCTCACTTATTATGATGAAAGAGAACAAGATAAATAAGAGATTTCACAAAGCACAAAGTAGAAACTTAATCACTCTTGGTTTTTTCACTTGAAAGCCCTATTCTCCATGCTTCTCCATTCTTCCAAATTTCATTTTATAGCTTGAGATGCTCAATCAATGTTTCTTGATGATTGGAACTTTTTTGGAATGAATATATTCCAAATATGGTAGGTAACTCAATGACCCAACACAAGGGGTTGGAACTTGCCTCTAGCAGTTGGAACCTATGTAATTTTCTACACTGTCACTTCAAAAAAACAGAATTATCAAGGGTTCCAAACCTTATCCCAAGGGTTGGAACCTTATTTGCATAATACACTTTATCTTTTTGGCTACCCACAACAAGAAAATATAATTATACAATTAAATGGACTTCCACCAAAAAGAAAATACATTCAAAACTTAATTTTTTAAAATCAATTCAATATTACTAGGAATGGACACTGATAAGTGCATCCTACGAACCGGCACCTCCCTGCTACACACCACTTATAACCACTTATACAATTAATATTTTATGATTTTAAATTATTCTCAAACGACTTAAACCAATTGCCAAACATAAGAGTAAACAATAAAAAATGTGAAAAATTGTGCTGATCTTCTTCCATGTTGATCTTTTTCTCCAGTTTTTCTTTTTCTCCAATTTATATTAATGTTTCAACAACAATAAAAATTTATAATTTTTTAAGAACCAAATATATTTTACCCAGGAAATTTTCTTTCCATCTCCAATTTTCTTATCAACCAAATGACTATGTATTATCAAATTTGTAAAAGTTCTAACAAAAATTTATAAAAATTCATTATCTTCTTCCTTTTTCCTTCTTCCTCTTTTTTTTTTTCTCCCCTCTCTCCTTTATCATCCTCCAAATAAGGGGAACCCAGATTTGGGTTCCCCTTGAGAACCCACTTCAACAAATCAAGGGGGGAAGAGAAGAAAGATGAGGGGAGGAGAGGGAAAGAAGAAGAAAAAGAAAGGAGGAGGAGGGAAAGGAAGGTTGAAAACCAAAGATGTTGGGTGAAGAAGAGAGAAGAGAGCTACCTAGATCTACAGATGGAGAACTCAAAAGAGGAGATTTAGGAGGAAATGGCAAGACAAATGGTGACGGAGACAGAGGGCAGCTTGCTATGTACAAGCAAGGAAATTCTACAATTTTTTTGTTTCTTAATAAATTAAAGGATATAATAATTAATTAAGATAAAAAGATATGATATTAGTATTTAAGGACGTGAAAAAAATTACCTATATAATTACACTTCATACCATAAAATAAAAAAAATGATCAACTAAAACATCTATTAACATTTTTAATTATTATGTTCACTTATTATAATTACATTTAATATCATTTAATTTATAAATTAAATTAGAAATCAAATCAATTACCTTACCATTAATTTCAATTTAAATTTAATTATTTATATTTACTTATTATATAAATTTCATTATTAAAAAATACTATTGCAATTAAGTCAACCAAAATTTCTTGAACAACGTTTCTCAATACCCAAACACAATAATTTTCTTAGCATCCAAATACAAAATGAAACAAATTTTTCATACTCCATTTCATATTATACAAGAATTCAAGTAAAATTTACCTATAAAAAAAATATTGAAATGAAAATTCACAATTAATTTCTAAAATCTGGATTATTCACCAAGATCTAACTTCCTACCAATTCATATTTCCAACTAAATGTTCTTTTCCTTTTTTATTTCAAATTCTAAACAACATGTAAGATGGAGGAAAATGGTTGGTTTGAGGAAGAAGAGAATGGAAGCTTCATGAACACAAACTCAGAAATGAGTTCGTGAACCCAGATTTGGGTTAATGAATATAAACCCAGATCTAGGTTTGTGAACCTAGAGTTGGGTTCATTAACACAAACCCAAATCTGGGTTCAC